CGTATTTGCGCGAATCCTTTGGGCTCCGTGACACAGAGGAGCGCGACAGACCGGTGTGTGTATGTATGTGTATGTATGTGTGTATGTATGTGTGTATGTATATGTGTGTGTGTGTAAATGTAAGCTCCAATGTAGTTCTGACCCGCGCCAGTGTGCAACTTTGACGGTAACAGAGGGGAGAGATGATGCGTGTGGATGTTACGTATGGAGAGGGGGAAAGTGTGTGTGTGTGTGTGTGTGTGTGTGTGTGTGTGTGTGTGTGTGTGTGTGTGTGTGTGTGTGTGTGTGTGTGTGTGTGTGTGTGTGTGTGTGTGTGTGTGTGTGTGTGTGTGTGTGTGTGTGTGTGTGTGTGTGTGTGTGTGTGATACAGACCCGCTCGTCACACCGTGCACATAGGGCTTAAAATAGCGTTATTAAGAGACCTGCCCTCTCCCCGTTTTCTCTTTTTTAACCGACAGCTTTGACCGGTTAACGCTGTGACGGTCAACCACCGGTTAAACGGTCGCCGATTTACATCCCTAGTTAGAATAGATGTAATCCCACGTTTAGAATGTAGATAAAGTGATCCTCCATTTAGAAATAAGCTTCCGACCCCGTCCCAATTCTCACCCTTGCCCTTAGGTGTGAGTACCCTCACCAGCAAAGTGCCTTCCCAGTGGGGAGTACACTCACAACATTCTTCCTAAGAATTGGGACACCCCTGGATTCCTATAACGATACCTATGCTGTGGCTACAGTAGTACTTTATCTCCACCGTGTATGGAGCGAATTAAAGCTGCACTAACTGACAATTTTTGTATTCATTACAAAAATGTAATCCATATCCATGCAATGCATTGGGATCCTTTTCAAGTAAAAGTAGATTTGTGCTGGCGTGTCATTTAATTTTAGATCCGAGTTTAATGTGTTTCGGGTCCCAATTGTGACCAATCACAGCGGACCACTGGCCACCGCTTTCTTGAGAAAAGCTACAGGTCTCTCTTTAGCACAGACAGTTGAGGTAAACAAGTGGCGGAGGCTAACCTGAAGCTTTGAATGTAAAATAGTTACAATTACTACAGTGCCTTGCGAAAGTATTTGGCCCCCTTGAACCTTTCAACATTTCGCCACATTTCAGGCTTCAAACATAAAGATATAACATTTTAATTTTTTGTCATGAATCAACAACAAGTGGGACACAATCGTGAAGTGGAACGAAATTTATTGGATAATTTCAACTTTAACAAATAAAAAACTGAAAAGTGGGGCGTGCAATATTATTCGGCCCCTTTACTTTCAGTGCAGCAAACTCAGTCCAGAAGTTCAGTGAGGATCTTTGAATGATCCAATGTTGTCCTAAATGACTGATGATGATAAATAGAATGCACCTGTGTGTAATCAAGTCTCCGTATAAATGCACCTGCTCTTTGATAGTCTCAGGGTTCTGTTTAAAGCGCAGAGAGAACCATGAAGACAAAGGAACACACCAGACAGGTCCGAGATACTGTTGGAGAAGTTTAAAGCCGGATTTGGATACAAAAAGATTTCCCAAGCTTTAAACATCTCAAGGAGCACTGTGCAAGCAATTATATTGAAATGGAAGGAGTATCAGACCACTGCAAATCTACCAAGACCCGGCCGTCCCTCCAAAATTTCATCTCAAACAAGGAGAAGACTGATCAGAGATGCAGCCAAGAGGCCCATGATCACTCTGGATGAACTGCAGATAACTACAGCTGAGGTGGGAGAGTCTGTCCATAGGACAACAATCAGTCTTGCACTGCACAAATCTGGCCTTTATGTAAGAGTGGCAAGAAGAAAGCCATTTCTCAAAGATATCCATAAAAAGTCTCGTTTAAAGTTTGCCACAAGCCACCTGGGAGACACACCAAATAGGGTTGGGCGATATGGGCCTCAGCATGTATCACGATTTTTGTTGGTATGTATCACGATATGACGATATGATAATTTGAACAAAGCCTCATATAAAAGCTATAAAAACTTAGCACTGATAATTTTAAACACACTTGCCTCAAAGTGCATTTACTGATTTATTGGCAGCAAAATGTGTAATACAGCTATTGTATATAAAACGTATTAACAAAACTGAATTGTAGAGAATTCTGTTTTGTACATACTGAAAATTGCAGGCAACATGTAATAAAGGTGAACATTTGTAATTTGTAAAATATATAAAAGTTTGTCCTTTGTAATATATAAAGTGTAGCATTATCAAATAATTATTTGATCACTTTGGCTTATGTTTCCTAATCCCAATATAGTCAAAATGATAAAATACTGTATATATTTTTTGTATCCTTTTTGCGTTTCTATAATTATGTAATTATAACTTATTTGTAATTATATTGCAATGTAGACAAACACATGCATTGAAGTAAAATGAATGACAGTAAACAGTAAATAAAGCTTATTAATGGCACTATGAGAGAGAGAGAGAGCGAGTGTCCGAAGCAAGCCACTCGAGTCCAGTTGTTTAGGGCAGCTGCTTTCACAACATTAGATCCACTGTCGATAGTTACACACAATTGCGTCTTTTTATCTAGTTCCCAAACTACTCCCATATGTTTGAGGTAGCTCCGCGTTTTGGCACAATGTCTTCTACAATCTGCATGTCTTCACCATGGTCTTCACCGCCGCCCTCAGCCATGTTTGCTCTCTGCTCTGTTGTTGTTGTCCCTGCACGCCGCTCTGCTACACGTGCCGCGCAGATGCATCATCAAAGTGCGCCGCACACAAACGTGTCTTCCGCTCGCTGTTTTCAGTGTTAAATGATCGTTTTCACCGGTATAAGGCATTTTCTTATCATTTAATTTACTTATACCGGTATACCGGTACAAAAAAAATATCGCCCAACCCTAACACCAAACATGTGGAAGAAGGTGCTCTGGTCAGATGAAACCAAAATCGAACTTTTTGGCCACAATGCAAAACGATATGTTTGGCGTAAAAGCAACACAGCTCATCACCCTGAACACACCATCCCCACTGTCAAACATGGTGGTGGCAGCATCATGCTTTGGGCCTGCTTTTCTTCAGCAGGGACAGGGAAGATGGCTAAAACTGATGGGAAGATGGATGGAGCCAAATACAGGACCATTCTGGAAGAAAACCTGTTGGAGTCTGCAAAAGACCTGAGACTGGGACGGAGATTTATCTTCCAACAGGACAATGATCCAAAACATAAAGCCAAATCTACAATGGAATGGTTCACAAATAGACGTATCCAGGTGTTAGAATGGCCAAGTCAAAGTCCAGACCTGAATCCAATCGAGAATCTGTGGAAAGAGCTGAAGACTGCTGTTCACAAACGCTCTCCATCCAACCTCACTGAGCTCGAGCTGTTTTGCAAGGAAGAATGGGCAAGAATTCCAGTCTCTCGATGTGCTAAGCTGATAGAGACATACCCCAAGCGACTTCTAGCTGTAATTGCAGCAAAAGGTGGCGCTACAAAGTATTAGCGCAAGGGGGCCGAATAATATTGCACGCCCCACTTTTCAGTTTGTTAAAAAAATTTAAATCATCCAATAAATTTCGTTCCACTTCAAGATTGTGTCCCACTTGTTGTTGATTCATGACAAAAAAAATAATTTTTATATCTTTATGTTTGAAGGCTGAAATGTGGCAAAATGTTGAAAGGTTCAAGGGGGGCAAATACTTTCTGTATATATATATACAATATACAAGTGCACGTGGTGCACACAATGTAAGATGACAGCAGTACAGTGAGGTAAAGTGACGTATGATGGGCAGTAAAGTGACATTATGAAGGGCAGTTGAGCTGGGAGAGCTTGTCCTGGAGCAGGGATGGCAGGATGGTGCTGAAGGCAGAGCTGAAGTCCACGAACAGGACCCTGGCGTTGGTCCCCGGGGAGTCCAGGTGCTGTAGGATGTGGTGGAGGGCCAGGTTAATGGCGTTGTCTATAGATCTGTTGGCTCTGTAGGCAAACTGCAGGGGGTCCAGGTGAGCGGAATATTATGGGTAAGTCCCGCCTTCCCTTCTCTTTGCTATAGCTCAGAATCCATGATGCCGTCCACGTTAACAAACCAAGTGATGCCAAGGGCTGTCAATCATCGGCGCTGATGCTCGTAGCTGCTCATGCTCACTTCATGAAAACTGAACAAAGAATTCTGAACATCCACGCTGAGTTACCCATTTATATACTGAACCTATATCCATAATCAGATCCTCTGCAGATTAATTCATGTTAATAGCTACTTCCGGGTTTGCCGCGATCGCTTTTTTTGTGCATTACACCTTATTTTTTTCATGAAAATTTTAACAAATAATTCTGAAAACTTCCGTGCATGTGTATTAATAATGTATATGTATAACTTATTTTCTGATTAACATTTAAATGTGTTACGGAAACATAGGCGTAGACCAATCAGAAAGGAAGGGGGAGGGAGCTTGCGTGTTATTTTTTTTTCAAATCAAGTACCTCTCTTTTTTTCTGACAAACTCCAGTCACTTTAATACATACAGTCTATCTATGGTATACAGTTAGCATTAGCAGATGCTGAGCGCGAGCTCATCGTTCTCATTCGAAAAATTCTCAAAGTTAGTGCAGCTGTATGTCATGTGAGTATCCCAAAAAGCGCTATATAAAATCAATGCATTATTGTTTCTGTTTTCTCTGCTTATTGCTGTTATAAAGTCCAAACATATTTCCTTTACAAATAACATCTCTGCAGTTTCAAGATATTTTAAAAGCCACCTATACCAATTATATGCTTCCAATGAGATAGGAATGATACGGACGGGACTCCGTCTGGATGTTTATGTTTAACAGGGGAAAAATAGCAATTTTCCATTGCATTGAGAACGACATGAAAGCAGCAGGTTTGCATTATGTGTAGATGTGTGTCCGTGTATGTCAATGTGGGTGTGTTAATAATATACCAGATCGTTTAAGTATGTGTGCATATGCATTTGCGTGTACACGTATATAACGGGAGT